GCTCGAAATAGGTCTGCTGGCGTTTTGAATAAACTGATGTAAATACTGAAGTGAATACCCTGATGTCTTTCAATTAAATAAATGATCAGATCTGAAATCTTGACGTTTTAATTTTTTATGTATCTAACAATCAATTTCAGATCTAAAAAAAACAATTTCAGATCTAGCAATCAATGTTTAGATATAAAAATCAATTTCAAATCTAACAATCAATTTCAGATCTTACGATCAATTTCAAAGCATTTTTAACAAAAATATTTTAAAAGGGTTTTGAAAACTATTTTGTTTTTAACAATTTTTTTTATAGAGTTTGGTTTATTATACGTAGTTCGACGGTGTCAAGGTTAGAATCGTAGACGGATCTATTCGATCTGGGGTCTGACCATAGGATGGCCATGATTAGATCTGGGGTCTGACCATAGGATGGCCATGATTAGATCTGGGGTCTGACCATAGGATGGCCATGATTAGATCTGGGGTCTGACCATAGGATGGCCATGATTAGATCTGGGGTCTGACCATAGGATGGCCATGATTAGATCTGGGGTCTGACCATAGGATGGCCATGATTAGATCTGGGGTCTGACCATAGGATGGCCATGATTAGTTACATGCACATTGATGCTGAGGGTTGGCCCCCCTCCCCCGGCAGATCTGTGGGTGATTGGAGATTAAAAAAATAGTTAATGACTTTTTAAAAACTTTGAACTCTAGTGTTAAGTAGGAATACTTACGTTAATAGCACAAGCTACACCAGCTCAAAGTGTTAACTTGCACATATCAGAAGTGGCAGTACAGAAGCCAATCAAACCCACAAGAGAAGTGGCAGTACAGAAGCCAATCAAACCTCAGAGAGAAGTGGCAGTACAGAAGCCAATCAAACCAACAAGAGAAGTGGCAGTACAGAAGCCAATCAAACCTCAAAGAGAAGTGGCAGTACAGAAGCCAATCAAACCCACAAGAGAAGTGGCAGTACAGAAGCCAATCAAACCTCAGAGAGAAGTGGCAGTACAGAAGCCAATCAAACCAACAAGAGAAGTGGCAGTACAGAAGCCAATCAAACCTCAAAGAGAAGTGGCAGTACAGAAGCCAATCAAACCCACAAGAGAAGTGGCAGTACAGAAGCCAATCAAACCTCAAAGAGAAGTGGCAGTACAGAAGCCTATCAAACCTCAAAGAGAAATGGCAGTACAGAAGCCTTTCAAACCCACAATAGGTTATTCAGATAAAATTTTCAATTGATATTTTCGTGATTCCCCAGGCTCATTGTTTGCAAGTATTGCTGTGATAGAAGTTGCCACTTTAGCCTTTGCCGGTGCGGGTTTTGATGCGATGTACTCTCTTACTGTGGCCATTTGGGGTGGAATGACCTACTTTGTGGTGGCCAGTTGTGTTGTGCTGTCAGCCCTGGTCATGGTGTAAGTTGTCACTGACTTAATAATCATTCTATTTCTCTTGATTTGTTTATTTACAGTTATTCAAAAAAATCAATGTTTAAAGTATGTGATAGTAGATTTGACCTTAAATTGAAATTTAATTTTAAAAAAAAGAAATCAGTGTTGCTACAAATAAATTCAGCATAAAAAATTAATTTTGTTTCAAAACCACAAATTTGTCCTTAATCCTTTTTAAGTTTAAGTATTGTATGATTTTTAAATTCATTACAAACATTTCATCCCAATTTCATGTTCTAAAATTTATAAATGATTATTTATAAAGCTGACGACTATTTTAGGGGCCATCCATAAATGACGTCAAACGTTTTGCAGATTTATTATGCCCCCCTCCCCCTCATCGCACATCATCACAAAAATGTGACACCCCCAACTTTTTTTTCTTTAGACGTGACGTCATCTATGGGTGGTCCGTGATTAAAAAAAACAGGTGACAGTTAAATAATAGCAGACATGTAGGACAAATTTAATGTGACATATTCAATGAGATAAATTTAATGTGACAAATTTAATGTGACAAAATTTAATGTGACAAATTTAAAGTGACACATTTAATGTGATAAATTTTATGTGACAAATTTAATTTGACAAATTAAATGTGATAAACTTAATGTGACAAATTTATGAGTTACAAAAATAAAAACTGAAATCTTAAAAACATGACTATTTCCTTGGTGTTAATTCTGTCTTCCTCAGAGCTTATATTATCATGGTCAGGAGGAGGAAATCAAGAGTAAGTCACTCCATACAGGAGGACACCATCAGTGAAACGCAATAAAATCTAAAGCCAGAATTTCTTTCAGCCTGAGAATGCAATGACGGTTTATCATTTTAATTGGCGAATAGACTTCTTGGCCGACCAACTTCTGTTGACTTCAAAATAACCATACTGTTTAGGCAAGGGACTGGTTGGTCACTGGTCTGGGTGGAACAATGGTCAGTCAGTCTATTGGCATGGGGTTGATCAGTCCGCTAAAACTCTACAGATCTAAAGTAATGGTTTGAAGTGAGTTCCTCCTCAAGACTAAATGAAACAATTTGTGACTTTGACATGTCCACTGGGATTAACTTCACAGGCAGCCATGGTGATGCTAGGAGGATATGGATGCTATGGGATTAACTTCACAGGCAGCCATGGTGATGCTAGGAGGATATGGATGCTATGGGATTAACTTCACAGGCAGCCATGGTGATGCTAGGAGGATATGGATGCTATGGGATTAACTTCACAGGCAGCCATGGTGATGCTAGGAGGATACAGATGCCATACTAGAAACATATTCTCCAAGAGTGTGACAGTTTTGTGAACTATTCTGTTAAAAGCAGGCCCGTTCTTAGGCATACGCTGACTACGCATCCGCGTAGGGCCCCAAACGTGAGGGGGCTCCCGTAGGGCCGCTTAACACCTTGGGGATATAGCAATGATGCACACACAAACAAATTATTGATAGCCGGAGGCGATCTCCTTCCTCAAAATAAGGAAATAAGTGCCATCAGAGCCATTCTTAGGCATATAGGCAAACTAGGAAACCGCCTACGGCCCCACTACCACGTGCATGTCCATATATTTCAGAAGTACACATTTTCTCTAGTGGCGAAATTATCAATATGGTTAGTGGTTACACGCGAGCAAAGAGGAAACATTGATGAAGGCAGAATGGAGCTGCCGCAGTGGTGGGTGGTGTTTTCTCCTCAGCTCGAGGGAGCTCCACCCCCGGAGCCCCCCCCCCCCCCCCCCCCCCGGGCCCCCCCCCCCCCCCCCCCTTACACGCGAGCAAAGAGGAAACATTGATGAAGGCAGAATGGAGCTGCCGCAGTGGTGGGTGGTGTTTTCTCCTCAGCTCGAGGGAGCTCCACCCCCGGAGCCCCACCCCCCCCCTTTACGGGGCCCCCAACCTACGCTCCATGCTTAGGGCCCCCAAACTCCTAAGAACGGCTCTGCTAAAAGCTTTAGTATTACTTGACTTATCCAGTGAACACATTTGAATTATATGCAGATTGTTTATAAACATGTATTGAATGTAATCTATGTGAAATTCTTATACCTGTAAGTTTTGTTTTATTATATATAAACATAGATGCTTAAAACTGTTTCAACAAACAAGTCAGTTAGTGTATTTTACAAAGCATGGATTTTTATGTTTGGTTTTGTTTGAATTTTTTAAAAAATATTTGAAGTAGATGGTATATAATAAAAGTGTGTGGATGTTTGGTTAGTGAACATTTAACTTTGTCTTTTAAGCTGTTAACGACAAATCAAATTCTCTCAATACTCAATACAACTGCATTTTACAAAAAAATGTTCATGAGTGGCGTGTAGTTTTGAATTACATTCAGCTTACAATGTAATTGAAATTTTGTTTTCAAAAGAATCCAGTTTTTTCATTTATTTTTTTAACATGTTCCCAGCTCATGCTATTGTTCTGGGTTAAACAGCCAGTGGTAAAGATGCTTCATTTCTGAGCAAAACTCTAGGTCATTTGTCATCATGGTCAGTTTAATGTTAGAATTTTGTAGGTGGGACCAATATTTAAATTACCTTGCAGAGGTAAAGAAGTTTTAAAAAAAAAGTTTTTGTTTCTATTAACTGGTTAACTACCATGAGCCGCTGGGAGTGGCTGGGCGTTCGTTCCGTTATGGCCACGAGCCGCTAGTTGCGCCAATGCTACTATCATAGTAAATCGAGTCAAATATTTATATTATTCTGTTCCCGTTTCGCTTCTAGATTTTAATTTACCGACCTGATGTTTATATTCCAAATGCATGCTATCAGCAGAATGTTTTAAAAAACGAAATAATAATTAGTTTTAATTCATTTTCCCAACTAGTTACAAAATAGTACACATTTACCGCGGCAACAAGTGACGGGGTTACTAAGGCATATAAGTGATTGGAAGTGTTAATATTATTCAATTTCTGTGTTCTTTGGTTCATTTTTCTTATTATTGGATATACTATTTGTAAACCACAAAATAAAAGGCTTTAAATGATTTTGAAATTAAAAAAATGTATAGGTGAGTTGCACATCAATATATTTTTTATTGTTTATCTATTGAAAATATTAATTTAACAATTAATAATTTCCTAACAAAACTTAACTTTACAAATGTTTTCAGCTTATAGTATAGCAAATTCAATTGCCTACAAAACGGTGTATTGATCATTAGAATATGTTCATAATTAAGAAAACTGCAGCTTAAATTGTACATACACCTAAAATGAAAAAAATGTGACCTAGATTTAATTCGGCCACAGTGGGTTTTTCAATCTGGTAGTTAATCAGTTAATAAACATATTTATATTTTAATATGTATTTAAAAAAAAACATCTTATTGTAAACTGTTTTAGAAACATCATTTCCCAGCACTTGATAATAATTGGCTTAAGGGGACCCACTGCAGATGACAAAGCCACCCCATCACTTAGTCTAATGCTTTGATGATACAATTAAACTCATCAGGGATGAGACTGAGAGTGAAACTTTTTATATCACTGTAACAGTTAGTTTAAAAAAAACTTGAATAAATGTAAATAAGATAAATATTTCTTTTCATTCCTTTTATACCTTTAAACAATATTCAAAACAATTTTTTTAATGAATTTTTTAATCTGTCTTTCAATATATTCTATTGGTTAAAATTATATATCAGTAACATATGTATTTATTATATATGGTACAGTACTTGCAAGCTCATGAGGAAATTCATTTAGAATCATATAGGCAGACATCAAAATATTCGTGGGACCTTGACCTTGTGAGTGGAATGTTGTGGCATTTTGCTGTAGATTATTTCCATCCAATAAATTTTTCACTCCATTTATGGATTAGGGATGTAAATGTGATTTAAAAAAAATACATTTTGTTAGATCAGTTTTGAATCCCTGGCCATACTGTAAAACATTGAATTGTTGTCAGCCAACAGTCTCCTAGGTGAATCAAATTCCTTGACACATCCGTGATCCAGAACAAGAATTCTGTATAGAATAATAATAACAATAATAAATGGGCCGATGGTTTCTTTAAAATAGTGAGCTAAATAAACAAAACATCACACAGGGACCAAAATCTGTTTGTGAATCAAATATTTACAAGAATCAATAAAGTCATAAATGAATTAATGTATTTCAGTTACTGCATTTGGATCATTGGCAAGGAAGATGGGAAAATTTTTTAAATTTAACTGCATGCACCAGTTTAATTCCCTCAAAGTAAGGACCGAAAGATTTAAAAATTAATTTGTTCCCCAATCTATAATAATTTACCAGCGTGGTCCCCTGGCTGTTTAAATAAATGATCTAAATAATCACTCTTAAAGTCAGCATTGTCACTTATTCATTGAGTGACAGTCGATTTTTTTTTTTCCCCCTGAGAAGTACTTTTAGATGTCTTGTTAAATTTGTCTAGTTTAAAAAGTTTGTCTTTTTCAGAATATTTATGTAGCCTATGTTGCTAAAATTTTATGTACTCTGTAATAAAAAAAAGAAAAAAAGCATTTATTTGGATCTATAAGAGAATCTTTTCTTTTCCTTTCTTAATCAATGTGTAAAACTTGTAATGATGTGTTTTAACTGTTGCAATTAAAAAAAAAAGATTTTATGGTTTAAAATTTAAAGAGAGATTTGAGCTTGACGTAAGCATTATTACAGTCATGTTTACTTGTTTGAATTAGTTGTGTAACAAAGAGTTAACTATTGAGTAACAGTTCAGAGGCCGACAGTACCCACAGTAAGAAATAATGAACTTTATAAAAATCCCATTGGGTGAGTCCAGGGGTGGGGCATCTTCATGAAAAATATTATTCTACATGATATTTAAAAATGTCTAGTAGAAAATAGCTGAAAAGAACTGGAGCTGAACTTAATACTGCAATACTTCTGCCTAGTAATGTTTAGCCATGTTGGCCAACCAAATATATATTGGTCCACAGTTCTGCCTAGTAATGTTTAGCCATGTTGGTCGACCAAATATATATTGGTGCACACTTCTGCCTAGTAATGTTTAGCCATGTTGGTCAACCAAATATATATTGGTCCACACTTCTGCCTAGTAATGTTTAGTCATGTTGGTCAACCAAATATATATTGGTCCACACTTCTGCCTAGTAATGTTTAGCCATGTTGGTCAACCAAATATATATTGGTCCACACTTCTGCCTAGTAATGTTTAGCCATGTTGGTCAACCAAATATATATTGGTCCACACTTCTGCCTAGTAATGTTTAGCCATGTTGGCCAACCAAATATATATTGGTCCGCACTTCTGCCTAGTAATGTTTAGCCATGTTGGCCAACCAAATATATGTTGGTCCACACTTCTGCCAACACTATATCATGGTACAGTGGACATTTTTAAAATAAGACCTTCAGTTTAGAATTAAGTTTTCTGACATCTTACAATATTATTTTACACATCACTTCTTCCAAGGTTTTTTTTCTGATTTTTGTATTTGCACTTCATAAGCTTAAAAGAAAAGGTAATTTTTTTTTTCTTGGTTCTATAACATAATTTTTCTATCTATCTTAGGTCACCTATCTATCTGTGATTTACCTGTCATAGTCTATGATGGTGTTGAGTCGATGAGCTATTGTCAGTACAGTGCAATCTTTAAATTCTCTGCATATTGTCTTCTGAATAAGCTCATCAGTTTCCACGTCGACAGCAGCCGTGGCCTCATCTAAAACAAGGATTTTTGTCTTTCGTAGAAATGTACGGGCCAGGCAGACAAGCTGGCGCTGTCCTACACTGCAACAAAGGGACGTAATTGTGGAGAAAGTCATGCAAAGCTGACTTAATGAATAGAAATGAGACCATACGGCAGAGTAAAAATTTGGCACTTGATCAGGGAAGGGGAGGGTAATAGAAAAAGTTATACATCATGTCTGTGGTTTGGCAAAAGGAGAGTCAAGTGGATTAAAATAATGATTTGATTTTATGCCAAGGTTTCTTTTACCTACACCCATCCCTACTAAACCCTAAGCATCCCATACATTAAAGTCATTTAAATCAATAGCAGAAAAAACTTAAAGAAGCCACAGCTTAATTTTAGTCAGATTAAATATTATGGACAGAAAACATAATAATATTATGTTCATATTTTTGCTATTCATAAAGTTGTTTTTTCTTAACAGCTTAATAGTGATAAAAGTCCAGAATAATAATCCGTATCCGGAAATTTGTTGGAAAGAAATTTCGTCAATGGAAAATTTATCGACTACAAGTTGATCGACACCAAATTTGGTCAAATTCTTTCTTCAGTTCACATGATCTAATTTTGCATCACATTTCTTTTTGAATGAATTATTTTGTTTGACTTTAGAGTTTATTGCGTTCAAAAAGAAATGAATTATTTTGTTTGACTTTAGAGTTTATTGCGTTCAAAAAGAAATTTGACGCAAAATTAAATTGTGTGAACTGAAAAAAGAATTGAACCGAATTTCTGTTCAATCTAATTTCCGTTGATCAATTTTCAGTCTACGAAATTTCTTTCAAATAGGTTTCCAGTAACCATAATGTTCATATTCATATTATTGCTATTGATAAATTCGTTTTTTTTCCTTAACAGCTTAATTCTGATAAAATCTCCACTAAAGTCCAGAATAATGATCATCTTACCTTTGTTTTTCCTACTGTTATTATGAAGATTAGTACCTGAGATTTTTGCCACCTTCTCCACAACAAAAGTCCAACTGCCTTGGTAACCTGCTCACAAAAGAATGCAGGTGGGCATGTTTGAGAGCTTCCATTAAGTCAGCATCTGTTTTCTCTTTGAAGGGGTCAAGGTTCATTCTCAAGCTATCGCTAAACAAAACTGGATCCTGATGAGACAAAGCATAGGATGACAACTGGTGTGTAAATGGTCACCTGATCAGACAAAGCAAAGCATGACAGGTGTGGCACAGTCAAGCTTGGTTACACAAGTAAAAGAGGGTGTAAACCATCAGGGACATCAAGGAAGAAGCTGCTTTAAAAAGAAACTGAATTTGAAAGCCATTAAAATAAATACATGATACAAGATTGATTTTAGTTGGAGATTATTTTTATAGACCTATATAGGAAATAAGAACATATTGTGCAAGGGGTGATAAGTTGAGATGTGAATGAGCTTTAAAATTGATCTAGTACTAGTTATTGCCCTTGTATTAGGCAACCGGTCCACAAATGAATTTATTAATATGGCATAGATAAATTAAAGATATCCAATGAATGAGCCTAACAGAGACTTGAAGAATTTGTCTTTCCATAAAATATTAGTCCGTTGAATGATTGTTTTACAGCTACCCAATAGTGCATTTAACATGAAGAAATTGTTGTCTCTGCATATTCTAGTAAAAGTCAACCTCTTGCTTTCCATAGCTTAAATAAATACATTTATTTTGTATATCCTTTGAAGAACAATGTAGTCAGGGTTATTAATCATTTGTACATTTGCAGACACTCCATTAAAATTTGACTTTAAATGACTTCCTGTAAAAAATGCTTTGATGCAGAAAATTTGTCAGTAAATTTTATAAATTTTTGAACTGGCAACCCTGGATTTAGCTATGGGATAAAAGAAAATTATATTTTGATTAAAACAAATAATACCTCAAAAACTATTTTGAAAAAAAAAATTACATGAAATCTTAATGCCACCAACCTGGGGTAGGATTGTGATTTTTCTACGCAGGTCGTGTAGACCTATCTTAGAAATTCTGCAGCCATCAATGATGATGTCCCCTGCTGAGGCTTCCAGCAGCCTAAAGAGTGCCATGATTAATGAAGATTTGCCTGCACCTGTCCTCCCCACAATTCCAACCTGTTGAAAATAATTTAAATAGTTAATGTTCCTATTACTTACTCAGCTATGAACCAATTCAATTTTAACCAAAGAGTTATACTTGAACAAGGGTTGTTTTGGGCATTTGGACAAATATTTATCTCACTATGGCTCTTTGTTAGGGCACAGTGGGGTTCATAAAAGAGAACACAACATGGCTTGTTTGAAAATGATGCTGTCACTAATGTCAAAACAGCTTCAGCTCTGTCTGGCACAATCGTTTTAGTACGTTCCAAATTTCAAATGACCAGAGGCTTTTTTTAAAAAGATATCTTTTCAACCATTCCTGAAGAAACAGTCAACTTAACATTGTCAGCATTTTAAGAGTAAAAATGCTCACCTTTTCACCACTACGAATATTACAAGTGATGTCATTGAGAACAAGGTCCAAACCCTCACGGTAGCGTGTTTTGTAGTGGTCAAAAGTGACCTGTCCATATTGTGGCCACTCAGCAAGGGGAGCAGATCCTGGAATTTCCCAGGCAGCCTGGTAAGGATGAGAAACTTTTTAATTTTTTTTTTAAAAATGTTGTTAAGGGAGATAATATTCAACCAACATTTCAATTCCTTTGTTAAAGGGAGATAAAGGCATGTTCAGTTTTAAACAGATTTAAGACTAAGACAGACTAAAGCTTCCACTTCCAGAAAAAAAACAAAAAAACTTTTAGAAACAGATAGCACATATTTCCACTTTATCTAAAGCAAACTGTTTTAAATAAGGTCAACACATTTTTTAAAATGTTAGTTTAAAGAGAACCCAAACTGTTGGTTGTTTTTTTTCAAGGAGTTTTTGTTTTTATTTTAATACTTAACACAATGAAGGAAAGAACCCAAACACTAACAGAATTTAAAAGGCTTTACAAATGCCCAGGGAATTCATTGAAATTCTGTATCACAGACACATCACTCCAAAAACCTGGTATTCTGTATTATATCAGGAATGGAGAAAAAAGTTATTTTATCAATCGATAATAATTTTGTATAATTTTTCTGCCAATCTGATTTACCAGCATGATTTTGATAGTTCATTTATCTCAATATGGTGACTTTTCATCAGTCAAATCACCTTGCACAATATACAAATGTGGTTTGTTTGAAAGCTGCATGTGAGTTTTCCCTGACTGACTCACTTCAGTTGGTTTCCTTGAATAATCTATGATGTTCTCCAAGGACACAATCTCCTGCTCTGTGACAGCAGCGTGTTGCATAAATCTTCCCAGGAACATGACAATCTGGGAATTAAAAAAAATTATTCAAAACTCATTTTTTATTTGAAAATTTAAAATGAAAAATCATTTTTTTCAAAAGGATTCAAAATACCTTCAGGAAAGCTAAGGATTTTTATTTAGTGACCATTTTGTAAAGAAACATCTCTAGCATCAATTAAATTTTTGAGTTGGCTGCTGATTTTTATATATCACATTAAGTGTACACACTTAACTGTCTCTTGTGTATTGCTTAGAGGCTACAGTTCACTTTTATAGACTGTAACTGTAAATAATAAGTGAATCAAATTTAACCATAACTTTTCACACACTGATACTCAGGGAAATTGCTTTCGTGATCAATTACTTCTATTTTTTTGTCCCCCTTCAGTGCATGATTCATAATGATAACTCACTGAGGATGAGTACATGAAGGTGAGTCCAGCCATAGACGATGAGATGGAACTGTCCCAAAGCACAACCAGCCCTGACGCCAGGCCAATCAACGACGAGACCAGGGCAATATGGATACCAAAACAAGTGCAGACAAAAGTCTCCATCAGGTCAAACTTGAGGTGGGTCTCTAGGAGTTGTTCCATTTTCTTTGAGAACCTTTTTTGTGATTTGAACGCCCTAATCGTCACAACGCCCTCCAGGGTCTCTTTAAAATGAGCGCTAATTGGCGATGTGGACTTGGAGCTAAACAAACGCAGCTGGCGGGCTGATGAAACGTACATTTTCTGAAATAATCATGTCAGTGAGAAAATATTTTTTGCCTCCACTTTGATGATGAACATAACACCATAATGACTTTTAAGATACTGCAAAGCAAAAATTAGAATGCTGCTGAATTTAAAAATACCAGGCATAACATTGAATTGAACTAAGTTAATTGCAACAATTTTTTATAGAGGTTTTCACTAAACAAGAAAGATTTAGGTTGCTGTTTCAAGTCAATTTAACAAAAAAAGTTAAATAAAATTGTTCTCTTTTCAAATTTTAGCAAATGTTTTTTGAGAAGTTTATCACCTTGTCAAAATTCCATGACAATTTATTTCATAATAAACTTGTTACCAACCAGTCAACTGGCAATTTATTTCATAGTAAACTTGTTACCAACCAGTGAAGTGGCAATTTATTTCATAGTAAACTTGTTACCAACCAGTGAAGTGGCAATTTATTTCATAATAAACTTGTTACCAACCAGTGAAGTGGCAATTTATTTCATAGTAAACTTGTTACCAACCAGTGAACTGGCAATTTATTTCATAGAAAACTTACCAACCAGTGAAGCGGCAATTTATTTCTTGGTAAACTTGTTACCAACCAGTGAAGTGGCAATTTATTTCTTGGTCAACTTGTTACCAACCAGTGGCTTAAATATTAAACACCCACCATCCATCATGCAAGTTTTACTAACCTGTATGAACAAGAAAATCATGGTAACCAGCCCGAGGAAGAACGTCAGCCCAGGAGTCATAATGATGACCAGCAAGAAGCGCAGTAAAATGTTGCCCACAAGCTGCATGTACTGGTCAAGACATGGACCCAGGCCGTCCAAACTGTGCATGTCCTTGGAGAAACGGTTGATGATATGAGCTGAGAAAAGTAATTGTGGTCATCAGCATAATTTAAAAACAATAAATAAATACGCTAAAAATAATCACACTTTTGGCTAACATTCCTGTGTCCTTGATGCCTGTCTATAAAAATATATATTGGACAATGAACAGATTAGTAGAATTCATTTTCTCCCCCAAAAATATGATATTTTTTTTTAGAAACTACGGAGCATGTTATTGACCTGGTTAAATTCATTTTATGACAGGTATAAAAAGTGTAGCTTGAAAAAGAAATTATGTTACCAGCAGGGGTTGATTCAAAGAATGACATGGGAGCTCGCATGATGTTAGTAAGGAGCTTATTGTGAAGTCTGCCGGCAGCTTCTAAAGCCTTTGATTGGACCAAGGTCAGAAACATGAAGGCTAACACAACTGAAACAGAGGGGGAAAGAAAATCAACTTCATTAGGCGAAAATATAGATTTACCAAAAATCGTTTTTGTCATTCAAACTTGTCTGTTCTCAGATTGATACTTACACTTACATGTATAATAAGTATAATAATTCACACCAATTCCTTCTCATTTTATTTTCTGTTAAAATTGTTTACTGAAGTCAGCCAAAAATGTTTTTGTTCTTGTTTTTTGTTTTAGTTGTGGTGTGTTTAAATGTTTTTTGTTTATAAATTAATCTTGAAGTTTAATGGAAGTTTACCTTCACAAAAGTTTATATTAAGACATGCTGTAAAATTCTGAAAATTCTAGAAATAACATTAGATAAACATTTCTCTTGTAATAATTATGTACCAAACCCAAATTTGGTTGCTGAAGTGATTAAATAATGCATTTTATACATTGTCCTACTTATAATTCTAACATTTTTGTAAGATTCCAATGAGAAAACTGAGACTAACTCTCTAACCCTCCACTTAGTCCAAAGACTGTTAAATTAATAAAAGTAGAGGACTTGTCGTCAGGGTTGTGGGACAATGTCGTGTTTTTCAGTAGGATATCCTCTGTCCACTTCCCGAGCCAAAGGTCTTTGAAATCTCTAGAGATCACCAGTAGTATTAGGACAATTATAAACAGAAAGACTGATTTTACACCAACAGACTTGAGATATTCTGCATACAGTTCCCAAGAGGTCTGGAAAAAAATGAGTTGAATATAGTACGAGAGTGATATTAAATTCTCACAAGGACTGGACACACATTGAGTAGAACTATATTGTACAAAGCAATATATATAGCTCTCACTAGAACTGGACATATAATGAGTAGAATAATGTAAAAACAAAATTACAGCAGCTGTGAATCCAAGCATGGAAAAAAAAAACATCAGTTAGGTCTGAGTGGAAGGAAGAGGTGGTAGGCAGGCCAAAGCCCAACACATGCTGTAGTGCCACAGGGATGGATGGAAGATCTGAGTAGAAGGAGGTGATGAGGCAGGTCAAAACCCTAAACAGGCCTTAGTGCCACAGGGATAGATGGAAGGTCTGAGTGGAAGGAGGTGGTGAGGCATGCCAAATCCCTACATGGGCTGTAGTGCCAGAGAGTTGGAATCGTGATCAGATGGCTATATTGACACAAAGTTGTTTTGAAGACCTGCCTCTTACATGTGATTGAACATACACAAAGAGTGTATAATTTATGTTTTAATAAAATAGCAGTGGACTTCGGACACCATACAACACACTTTAATTTTAACATAACAATGGCTGAGATATAACATAAACCTTCTGGGACACCAACATATACTTTCTAATGAGTAATTAATGTAAAAGAAAATATTTAAAAAATAAATTAAGAATAATTGTAAGACAATTTAACATACATCTCCTTTTGCTGTTTCCTCCTCCATTAACTTTCCTTCAACACTAATACAATTATTGTTTTCACCAATGGACTTTTCAATGTGATCAATCTTGTGAACAGTTCTGAAAATTGTTAACAAAATAATAAGTAGGCCTAAACATTTTGATAAATGTTTAAAATTTGTTTCTTGAAGTTTTTTAAGACTTTTTATTGTTAAATTTTAAAACAGTTATCTGTTATTGTTTTCATGCTGATAAATATTATTCATATTTAAAATAATCACATTGTATTCTTAAAAGGACTTTCATGATGTTTAACTTGTTTTTAAGGGTTTTTCCATTTTAACTAAAATAACACATAATTAAATTTAAAAATGTATTTCTAAAAGTAGATGTTTTGAGGGTTTAAAAAAAAAAAAAGACTAACCCATTAGAAAATAAATCTTTCTTGATGTGATCTGTAATTTCCAAAGGAATCGAGATGAACACATTTTTTTTAGAAGGCAGATAAATTTTACAAAATAAATACTATTCTACAGTATATTAAAAATAACGGAAGCATCAGTATCACCATGTCTCTAGAGCAGCGGTTCTCAACCTGTGGGTCGCGACCCCTTTGGGGGTCGCGGGACACTTTTCCAGGGGTCGCCTAAGACCATCTGAAAACATATATCCTTACAGCTATGAAGTAGCAACGAAAATAATTGTGTTGCTTGGGGGTCGCCACGACACGAGAAACAGTATTAAGGGGTCGTGGCACTAGAAAGCTTGAGAACCACTGCTCTAGAGTCATGGTAATACCAAAATTATAAAAGGAAATTGTGTCATGCCTACCAGCTAGTTTTCTGTTCTCTTCTGTCTCTGTTCTAGTGGACTCTCTAAGGAATGCAACAAGTTGCCCATTTTTTGCTAGCAGTTGTTTGTAAGTCACAGTCTCAGAAAGTTTACCATCTTTCATGACCAAAATCTCATCCACGTATGGAAGCCACTGGATTCCATGGGTCACAAGAATTCTGGTCTGTTAAAATTTATTAAAAAAATAGATTACCAGTACTTTAATTACTGTTTGAACACATATTTTTTTTTTAGTTCCCTGCTACTAAAATGTGAAAAAAAAACAGATGTCATGAGAAGAATTTTGGGCTTTAGTAAGGCTGAAATGATACATGATACTCATCCGTCTGCCTTGAACATGAACTGCACACCATACACTTGTTTCATATTTAGGTCAAAGAATTAGTTTTCTTTAGTAATGAAACATTTGGTAAAAAATGTAAAATAATTTAAGGCAATAGTTCTCATACATTACAAGATTTATATTTTAAAAAATAGCCCTTTCATCATGTTCTACCCTGGAAATATTTCATTATCAGCCACTTCTTACTTCTTACCTCTTACTTCCCCTTTCACTAAACTTTCTTTGGAAGAAAAAACCCAAAGAGAAATTGACCCTTAACTAAAATTCAAGACTTAATCATTTAAATTTTTAAACAGTTTTTTTCCCATTAAACTATTAAACTTTAAATGACCTCTTTGATTTTTTTTTCTTTTAATTATACACTCATTCTAGGGAAACACCTGGTAAATTCCATACAAACAGGACTTTGTTAATATTATCACATAAAAACTTTCTAACAGCAATACCTTGTCCTTGAGTAATCCATCTCTTCCCAAGACTTGATTAAATATATGTTTGCCAACATGAGCATCTACAGAACTAAGGGGGTCATCAAGAAGATAAATGTCAGCATCATGATAGACAGCCCTGGCCAATGAAACTCTTTGTTTCTGACCTCCCGACAGATTGACGCCCTAAATGTTTAAGAAATACAAACTTCATGCATAAATTCATTATAAATATATTAGGTAAAGTATCTATTCATAACTCTTTACCAAAACAACTAATTTAATAATTTTTTCCTTCCGTTAAATTAAATGAAAAAGTTTAATCCTTACTCCAAGAGTAATGTGTCGTATTATAATTATCTGTAAAGAAAAATATAGACACTACATAATTTTAAAGATTATATTTTGTTAAATTTATACTTTTGAATGAACGTAAACTGTTGCAAAGCATAAATTGTGTTTATCTATTTATTTATTACCCTTTCTCCTATCTCTGTGCTGTCAGACCCTGGCAGAATGCTGAGATCGTCTCTAAGAGCGCAAGCTTCGATAACTTTGTTGTATTTCAGTCCATCAAATTCTGATCCAAACAGAATGTTGTCTCGCATAGAAGCATTTTGAATCCATGCATCTTGGGACACTAAAGCAGTTGAACCCTTTTGTTTGTTGAGAGAAGTTATTTTTATAAACTAAGATCTGTTATGTCATGAGAAATTGTATTCCTTTTGCAGTAATAGTCAATGTAAAATTGTTGGAGATTTTCCTATTGTTTCATGTGGCTGCTAATGAGGTCAATGGCATGAGGTCAATGGCATGAGATCAATGGCATGAGGTCAATGGCATGAGGTCAATGTCATGAGGTCAATGGCATGAGGTCAATGGCATGAGGTCAATGGCATGAGGTCAATGGCATGAGGTCAATGGCATGAGGTCAATGGCATGAGCCAAATTCTTGGCATGCAATAACAAATTTAAAATAAAATGCATTGAAATGAAGAAACTTATTTTCAAAACAGAGACAAAAGAGAGAGAAAAAAAGAACCTTTTCCCTAAATATTATTATCATGGAATTTTATGTGTATTGTAAGGAAACCTTGCTTACTCTCTGCTATCTTCATCTATATCTGACATCCACTTTGGAAACAACTCAGGCGATAACATCTGATGATTATAGTCTTGTTCTTTATTAGGCTGATACTTCGCTTATACTTTCTCTCATCTCGCAACTCTGACTGCCCTCTACTCATACCATCCGGCCGCGCTCTCCCTGCTATCTGCTTCTCTGTCCAGCCGCGTTCTCCCTCGTCCCGTCCAGAGGTCCCTATTTATAAGTCCCTGGTTCATAGAGTTCCCTTCCCAGGTCTGTACTCGCCCCGCCCCTTTTTCTCAATTGGCGCAAGGTTACCAACCAACCAGACGTCCCAGGTAAATGCCCTGGTCAGATGGCTTGATCCGTCGATCGTGATCTCTGGTCAGCTGGCGCCGGCTGTACCTGTCAGACGGCCGGTCGCCGTCGTGATCCGAACTATCCACAATCCCCGGCGCCGCCGGCGCCGTCGTGGTCCGAACTCTCCGCGGCGCTGTCGTGGTCCGAACTCTCCACAGTATTACCCAGTACTCTCATTGTGTTGCATTTTCTTACAGCCCACCAGAGAAAAAACATTATTTCTTAGACCATCCAGAGACTCAATTTATTTCATTTAGTTGCAATGAAACAAACGAAAGATGAATATAAATAGCTTACAAAATAAAAGAAATCTGACAAAGAATAGGAATTTTATTCTATTTAACATTTCAACTAAACAGTTCCATTCTTGAAAAATACAGTGCTTACGTGTACGGAGACAGTCCCGTCACATTTCTCCATCTCACCTAAGATTGCAGACAGGATGGATGACTTTCCAGCACCTACCATACCAATAATGGCAACAAATTTCCCCCTTCTCACAGTGAGATTAACGCTGAAAAATAACATTAAAAAAAAAGTCATTTTAGGAAATAATAATTCAATATTTATGGGTATGTGTAGAAAATTAAATCAATCGATACGTTTTCACCAAACACCCCTCTTTATTATTATTTTTTTAAAAATAAAATGGTGTGGACCTCTATTAAAAAATGTATTCATTGATTTGCCTCTTTAATTCAAGGTTGTTAAAACTTGTTTTCCTAATTCCCAAAATAAAGAATGGAATAATATCAGGATGAACTTACTTTTGCAAATTTGAATTTTTGTGGGATCTTTCATAAGAAAATGTTCCATGTTTAATCTGAATAGCTAAATCTGAAAGTGAAAAGTAAATCAATTGGAACTGCAAGATTGTCCAATATGGCCAATGTTTAAAAACTCAATTTATTTTCAACCTTTTACAAATGCTGGACTTATTAATAATATGAAATCAAAAACATTTTTTTTTTCCATAAGCTGAAAAAATTAAAAATTAACTAATTTATCCAGTATGTGACAACTTTCATACCAGATTGCATTGTACTTGTACATGTATTAGTCTCTGTAACATGCTGGATTATATCAATGTTGTTACTTGTACATGTATTGATATCAGTCTCTGTAACATGCTGGGTTATATCAATGTTGCTAAAAAAGCTGTTCAGCCGCTGAATGGCAACAGATGCTTGCACGAAATCTTGGAAAACAAGGGACATCATGCTGAATGGACCATTTAGGATGGCAAATAGGGAGGTGACTACAAAAGCTTTGGCAGGGTCAAGTTGACCCCCAAGGATTAAAAATACACCAAAACCAGCAATCCTCACCTGTATGACAAACCAGAAATATTATGGGATTATTAAAATTATTTATATAATGCATTTTATTTACAAATTGTTTAATTATTCATAGAAGAAAATAATTGTAAAATTTTTTGTTTATTCAACTGCTTTACATCAAATTTGTATAAAAAGAATATTTAAACAGCCATATCAATAACCTACAAAAGGCTGCCCCTTAAAATTGCAGGACTCTTGATGCAAAGCCATAAAATCATAATGCTAAATTTTTGCAGTATGACATGAAGTCACTCACCATAAAAGGAATAGCTCTGAATATCAAATCAATATAACCATGGTAAAAACTGATTCTTTTTATTATGGTAATTTCCCTGTCCCTAACTGCTAAAACTTTGTCAACGAAGGATTTCTCCCAGGCATAAAGCTTGAGGACCTGCAAAAAAGAGTTAGTCTATGCATAGTCTTTTTTCAAAAATTGTTTACAAAAATTATTATTTTTTTTTTTTTAACTGAAAGGGTGAAAAGGGACACAATCATCATCAATATAGCGTAAGTAGTCTCCCTTTAATCACAGTTTTTATAAAATTAAATTAAAAAATAAATAAAAATTGTTTTGTATTGTTTTTGTAACATGGATACAAACTATAGGCAAATGACAATTTAAAAAAAATGTATTTTAGTTGAGTTTTCCTACCTTTATGCCCCCCAGGACCTCGTTCATTATCTTAACCCTAACATCCTTCACGCTGTTCCTGTCTTGTTCCAGTGATTTCAGCTTCCTGCCAGCCCACGCATTGAGGGGAATTAACAGCAGCATGATTGCCATACCAACAAAGGTTGCACCACCAAGTTGTATGTAGAGCATGTAAAGACACAGGGAGACCTGAGCGCGTAGACAAACACTGTGTCCGTGAATCCCAAAACTTGTAACGCGTTTACAGAGAGGAAATTAACGCATGCCTTTAAAAAATAGATTTTTAAAAATGTCTGTTGCTTTAAAGAATTAAATATTCCTAAACAATATTATTTGTTGAATTTGACCGGTGTGGATGTCGTAGATCCTACCTGTGTATGTGTCATAGAGTTTACCTGAATGCACTGGTCATGAAGATGGGTGTGGGTGGTGCAGCACTTTTATCTGTATATTGGGGGCGGCAAATGCAGAGTTTTTTTTGTTTTTTTTTAAAGTGGGGGAGGGGGTTAAAATCTTGACCCACCCTGACAGCAGTAACTCTTGCTACACCACTGTCTTTATATGTGCTTAAAATTTACCGGTATAGGTGTCATAGAGTTTAACTTTAATGTGTGTCATAGTTTACCTTTATGTGTGTCATAGAGTTTACCTGTATGGGTGTCATAGAGTTTAACTTTATGTGTGTCATAGAGCTTACCTGTATGGGTGTCATACAGTTTAACTTTATGTGTGTCATAGAGCTTACCTGTATGGGTGTCATACAGTTTAACTTTATGTGTGTCATAGAGCTTACCTGTATGGGTGTCATAGAGTTTAACTTTATGTGTGTCATAGAGCTTACCTGTATGGGTGTCATAGAGTTTAACTTTATGTGTGTCATAGAGTTTACCTGTATGGGTGTCATAGAGTTTAACTTTATGTGTGTCATAGAGTTTACCTGTATGGGTGTCATAGAGTTTACCTTTATGTGTGTCATAGAGTTTACCTGTATGGGTGTCATAGAGTTTACCTTTATGTGTGTCATAGAGTTTACCTGTATGGGTGTCATAGAGTTTAACTTTATGTGTGTCATAGAGTTTACCTGTATGGGTGTCATAGAGTTTAACTTTATGTGTGTCATAGAGTTTACCTGTATGGGTGTCAGAATGATGAAATGCCCGTTGTTTGCAGCATTGACTATTTTATCACAATCTTCTGTCAACAACGACAATAACTCCCCAGTAGTCTTTCTTTCATTGGATGCCGTCAGTGACTTGATATAAGAGTGGCTAATATATCATTGTTAGCATGGTAAATAGCAACTAACATTGTTTCTTGCATTTTAAAGTGGTTAAAAATTAATTTCTGCAAATAAAATGTTTTAATTTTTTTTAAAAATCTTCCTAGATCCTGTTCTAAAGGTTGTTAGTCTCAGAGGGGTAGCGAGGGGATGGCAGGGAAGGGACAGATGTCCCCGGGTGCCAGATAGTTAGGGGCGCCAAAATGTGCTTTGATATTATTTTATTGATGAAAATAATGGGTTTGAGAGTTGAAAAAAAGAAAAGGGGGCGCTTTAAAATGGATCTTGTCCCTGGGCGCCAAACACCCTCGCTACGCCTATGGTTAGTCTGAAAGTCACATTAACAATTTTTAAAAAAATAATTGAAAACCATTTCTCTGCTGAGTTTAACTTGTATGTGTTTTCAGGCTATCTATTTACTTGGCTCAATTTATTTTCAACTGTGAAGAGACATACTGACCTTGTTGAAGATTGCCAGCTTCAATATCATGTTGGTCTGTTTACTTAGCCTTTGTATCCTGACCCACAGGTTGCCATTCAGGGCAGTAGTGATGAACGAAGAAAAGAACATGGCCAAGACAATGGTGTAACCTTTCCATGCTGGCTCAGTGGACCTCTGCTGTATGTGTTTCATCAAAGCTCTGTAATATAGCAAGAGGAACTATAACACCAATGATGGGGATAAATTTAGTTTCCCTTGACAGCTTACTTATCAATAAGAAAAATAATTATAATTAAAAACGAATAAATAATAATAATAAAAAGTAATAATGGTAATAGTATGATTATTTTTTAAAATATCCATTTTTTTCTAGAACATTAGTAAAAAATTTAAATAATAATAATTTAAAATGTAAAAAAAATCATAACAAAAATAATAATGGTAATGATATGATTATTTTTTTTTTAAGCATCCATTTTTTTCTAGAACATAAGTAGACTAAACAATTGAAGTCATGGTGTGAAACATCCTATTCCAAATAATTTTTTTTTTAAAAAAGCTATTATTACTTACTCAAGCAAAAGAGGGTTGAGAAAAAAACGAAAGTCCAAAATACATTTAAGTGTCTGGAAAGATAAAATAAGCATTTAATCAAATTTATAAGTTTCAATAATGTTTATGCTTTTATTTTATAATAATCAACCTTATTTTATACTCATGGTTACGAATCTACATTTCCGTGTATTAAATATTATTTATTTAATTAACAAGCTACTTTGTTGCGTAATTTGAATAGTGGCTCCTTACTTGCAAAGTGAAATATTTCAGACCAAAAATTTTTATCAGCACCAGCAGAATATTTGGCTTCTTGTGCTTTGCCTCTCCTCTAGATATCTTTTCATTATTTGACCAGTTTATTTTAATCAAACCATTTGATTTCCTGTAAAAAAAAAATATAAAGATAATATTAAGTTTAATTTTAAATAAGTTTCTTCTTAAAATATGATTGCAACAAAGAATGGATTGTAATTTTATTTTTAAATATTAGAATTAAGTTAACAAGATTTTGAGTAATCATCTATTTTATTGATTGAACTAACTTCTGTTCCACGATCTCCAGTTCACATTTTTGCTCTTCTGCCCTAAATGCTAAACTAAAAGCTGGATAAATGTTCTGGCATTTATCTTGCACGTTAATATCAGGTACATCGCTTTCTTGAAGTTTATTTTTTAAGAAACCAGTCCATATGATTCTGTAAGGAAATATAATTGGAGATTTTAACCTTAACTTAAGAGATTCACTAACATGAAGCCATTCATTTTTTTTTGGAAGCAAGTTGACTTTTGGTTATTTTTTTTCCCTCTCTTTAAAAAAAAATACATTATTTATCTAAGGAAAACAAAAAAAAGTTTTCTTTCCATGCATTCTTCTACAGTTCTTCTCACTGCTGTTTAACTTTTTTTTATATTTGAAACGCTGCTAGATAATAAGATTGCTTTATTATTTTCTATGTTATTTTGAAAAACAAAAGGTTATCAAAGTGAAAGTGGAATAAATTGCTTTTCAGTTACTTAATCCAAATAGCTATTTACGTGTTTTGTAAAAATATAAGACAAGTTCTTACTGCAAAACCCATTTCATCAATAAATGGCTTAAGATAGAGTTACCATCTTCAGGGTGTGAAAACTGGAAAAAATCAGTATAGGATAAAAGACGTCAGAAAATTGACAAAATTGAAGAGATCTAAAAAATAGATTTCTGAAAGTCTAAGCCTGAAACTAAATTAATGCAACAAAATAACTTTCTTTCATTTAAGATGAATTATTTTCTATTGCAATGTGTGATGGAAAATTCAAATGTTAAATTATTCTGGCAGTTTGGGAAAAGCTTAAAAAAAATTGTTTAACTTAAATTACCTGATAAATTTTGCTAACATTTTGCTTTTTGCTGGCTGAAGTTTTCTTTAACCAGGAAAATAAATGAACACCAACAAAAAACACACACGATAATAACAGAACGTAAAAATGTTGAAGGGATTCCTGAGGAAACAAATGACTTTGTATATCAGAATGTACTTGAATAATTTGAATATTATTATTATTAGAATCATGAATAAAATTGTGGCTGTGATTATTTATTATAGTCAATAAATATTTTGAGAAAAAATAAATTTTTATCATTTTTAAAAATTATTTATTTAACCCTGACTATACCAATCACTACAATATTTAACGAACCGGGTCTGTTATTTTAAAATTAATAACTAAGAAAATGATTCACAATTTGCTGACACATTTAAGTACCTCTTGCTCTCCATTACTTCCCTTCGTTGATATCTCAAAATAACTTGAAAACATATTTTTCCAGAAGAATACAAAGCAAATGAGAGTGATGTACCCATTGCTTTCTTCTCTGTTCAATAGGGAGAGCAGTAAGACCTGTATAAACATTAAAAATTATCATTTAAATTATTGATGAATCATATATTAGTAATAATCTGGAATTCAAATAAAAATATGCTGTTGTTAAACTTGAAAATTTTGAGAAACTAAAAACTAATAAAGATTGAGGGATGCCATGAACAATCACTTTATTTCTTTTCTCTCATAAATTTGAATTACTGAATCAAGTTAATTGTTTGCACTCTCAGGTCCCACTTTAAAACACAACTGAAATAGTTTATTTGAAACGTTTTAGCTTATCCATATCAATTACAAATTTACATATTTGGACTTTGATTCATATGAGTTTTTTAATTTGATTAATGAACAAAATAAGATTCTTTTATTGTTCCAAATAAATGGAAATATTTTTTTATTACATTCTACATATTCATTTTCAACACACAAATAAATACACATTTTAAGCAAGACGCCATTTTACAATTAGTCTATAACTATAGCAATTAAACACAAGACGTTTAAAATAATCAAAATATAATTAATGAAGATAGAAGCAAAGAAATTAACACAAAAAAAATGTCTTATTTAAAAACAAAAAGGTATAATTAAAATGTATCTATGGATTAGTAGTTTACCAGACTTACACAGCTGCATATCCTAAAGAAAACATCATACCAGCCCCAGTTTTGCCAAACTTCTAAAGCTTGGTCTTGTTTAAATAGAATGTAGGTCACTGCTAACAGGAAAAATGTTGACTGCTGTTTCTGTGAAAATGAATTAAATTGCTGCAATATTACTTTAATATCTACTTTTAAAAAAACCAAAAACTTTTGACAAAATGGCTACTTAGATTTGATTAGAATATTGAACTCTTTAGTTTATGTTTTCTTTGTTTTCAATAATTTATTAAACATTAAATTTTATAAAATAAAAAATTAAAAGACTTTGACCGTAATAATGAATAGTTAAAATACAAACAAAAAACACAAAACTATTTTAGAAAAAAACAAACCATATTTGAGTTGGTGTTGTTTAAAAACTAGTAGTTGGTTCAGCATTTCTCTCCATACCCTTCATCTGAAACTATAAAACAAAAAGTTTTCTCAAAGCAATAAATTAAAATAATTCTTTATTATTATAAATTATGTCATCAAGCCAATACTTTTTTAAGTATGGCTTATTCGTATGCTAAGATGTATATATTGTATGCTAAGATATATACTTTGTATGATAAGCCGTCTGTATCACATTGCAGTGGCTTCACTAGTGATGGTGTCACTCAGTACTGTACCTGAGGTGTCATCTAGTGATGTACCTGTTTGTGCTGCCTAATGCTTCATCTGATGGTGTCACCTAGTGCAGTACTTGATGTTGTTCCCCAGTGCTGTACCTAATGGTGTCACCCAGTGCTGTACTTGATGGTGTCACCTCCACCCTATTTAACACAATAATTTCCAATCATATTCCTACACCCGGAATCAGATAATAAATATTCAATACTAAATGTCACAGGAAGCTAAAATTAATGGGAAATTGTGCCTAACTCAATAAGATGCAGGTCATAATTTGTCAGCAGAAAACTAGTTGTGTAGGAGGGTGGGTATTCTCTCTTTTAACAAAAAAAATTATGCCATTTTCCTTGTCTCTGACTGCTGAAAGTTTGTCAATGAAGGCTTTATGTCAGTCATAAAAAAGTCTGCTTGTTATACAATAAAATATTTTTTTTTTAAAATATGATATCAAACAAATACTAGTTTTAATGCAAATGTTCTCATAAAAAAAACTCTGTGATAATTCTTATTGTTTTCTTGATTGCAAATTTTATGATTATATATTCCAATTACCGTTTGTATTCCAATGAGTTACTTTTTTTTATTCTAGTTCTAGTTACTGTTTTTGATTCCACTTGCTGTTAAATGTAATTAAACTTAATTTCTGTCCGCAGAGATGTCATAAATATACATAATTAAATTGACATTAAAGTTCTGGCAGAAACATCCAAGCTCTTTTCATGTTTTGGCTCTCTATGGTAGGACCTCTATCTGCTCTAGTTATCTACTTGACTACCGTAAAAACTTTCAGGAAAAAAACATAATAAATCACTGAGATGAGCGATATCGTCACTATGCACATACCTCCGACATTTGTGTCTTCTTTTTAACAGCTCCGGTTACCGTAATGTTCAGCCGTTAAATCAGATTCAGAGATTCAGAGACCCCAGCGACTTGTTATCTCAAAATTTAAAGGGAAGTAAGTACAACTCTGTGCCCTTAGACTAGATGTTAAAGAAGAACATGACATTGGAACTGCTGTTCAAAAACTTTTTTCATTGAACATTGTTTACATGCATCGAGTCTTACTTCCGGGTCATGATTCGGTTTAAACATTTACTCATCCCCAGTTACAATTTAAAGTCACCTTTTCATTTCATTTCTGCTCCTTAATAATAATTTTTTTCGTGTGTTAAAAATAGCCAATGCGTGCAACAGTTTTAATCACTCTTCAACGAAATGTTTGCAGTCGACAGTGCGTGTTGGGACATTTCAATTATCAGTTATTTATTATGAATCCATGACATCAATCATAAGTCAAAGAATAACTTGTAAGGTAGGTCGCTTTAATAATTAAATAATGATGTCACAAAATTCTTATTAATAATGTATACAATATACAACAGTCCTTAAATGGATTTATGTGAACATTTTTAATGTAATAAAATTTATCCAATATAGTTAACAGAAGAAATGCTATTAGTTATGTAATATTTTAATTTAAAAGTTATTAAAAACACAAAACAAAAAACTTTTTCTATTAATCAGTCATAGCCTCACATTCTAGCATAGCACCACGCCCTTAAAGACACAGTCTCATAGCACCACGCCCTTAAAGACACAGTCTCATAGCACCACGCCCTTAAAGACACAGTCTCATAGCACCACGCCCTTAAAGACACAGTCTCATAGCACCACGCCCTTAAAGACACAGTCTCATAGCACCACGCTCTTAAAGACACAGTATCATAGCACCACGCCCTTAAAGACACATTCTCATAGCACCACACCCTTAAAGACACAGTCTCATAGCACCACGCCCTTAAGACACAGTCTCATAGCACCACGCCCTTAAAGACACAGTCTCATAGCACCACGCCCTCATAGCCGCATATCCTCATAACCTCATTTTCTCATAGTTTCATAGTCTCCTATCCTCATTGCCCCCTGTCCCCTGTCAAAGCCTCATAGCCTCATATTCTCGAAATCTCATAGCCTTATACCCCTATAGCAACATAGCGCAGTAACCTTATAGCCTCATAGTCTCATAGTATCATGTCCTCATATTCTCATATTCTCATACCAACATTGCCACAAAGCCTCATAGTATCGTAACAAAGTAGCCCATAGCCTCATTGCGACATAACCTCAAATTTCCATAGCCACACAGCCTCATAACCTCGTAGCCTTATAGCCACATAACCTCATAGTTTCATAGCCTCATAGCCTCAGAGCCACATTACTTCATCGCCACCTAACCACATAACCTCATAGCCACATAGCCTTATAGCCACATAACCACATTAGCATCATAGCCCCATAGCCTGATCCCCACATAGCCACATAACTTCATAACCTCATAGCCCATATTTACGACTGCAAGCGGGCATGATGTTAATTATTTCATTTTTTTTTTTTAAAATAGGGAAGATAAGAAAATCTCCAACTAAAAAAATGACGTCATTCTTATCTCATTCCACATGTTGGAACTCACTGGGCATTAGGTGGGCAAAATTACACATGGGGTGGTGGGGGGGGGGGATTGCACACATGGGGTGGGATTGTGTACACACACCAGAGAAATAGAGAGAGAGTTCGAACCTTAGGAGATAGAAATAAAGAGCGAGAAAAACAGAGAAGAGAGAGAGAGTGGGATAAGAGATTGGGAGATGAGAGAGAAGAGAGAGAGACGATATAGAGCAGAGAGAGAGGGAGAGGGTTGAGAATAGGGAGAGAGAGAAAAGATAGAGAGAAGAGAGAGAGAGAGAGAAAGGGGATAGAGAGAGGGAGAAGATATGGGGAGAAGAGAAGGGGAGAAGAGAGAGAAGAGAGAGAAATAATATAATATATAGATTATCTATTGCGGAGTCACTTTTCGTTGTCCCACTGCACCACTTACATAATATAGCTAATTCTTTATAGCTAATTCTGTGTAGCTAATTCTGTATAGCTAATTCTGTATAGCTATATGTAAGTGAAACAGCGAGATCACGAAACGTGACCCCTGCAGTAGACGAATGATCACAGCATGATCGCTCGCTGCCTGCACTCGCTCCAGCAGTCTCTATGTTGTAATAATTAAATTGGGTGTTCAAGTTGGTGTGAACGAATAAGAGGTCATGGGGAGAGACAGAAAAAAAATCATTCCTTTAATGAGGCCAGGTTCTGAAGTGTGACCAGTGGTCAGCGGCGTGTCCTTCGGACGACACCCCCTGGAGACCAAGGAGGGTCAAGCTGTCCGGGGGCCCTAATCATCTGCGCAACGAAACGGTCATCTGGTGGTGGTCAGCCACTGGTCAAACTCCGGACACCGGCTGCTCATCCCGGGAGACAGGTTCACCCACGGACAAAGGTCATTGTTGTGACCCTCTGACGTCACACTTTTTGAGCAATCGAGCCGAATATAGCTGACAAAGCATGCATTAGGTGACCTTCCTTACAGATGACCTTTCCGGCACAGGTGATCTCCCCCCCCCCCCCCCCCCCCCCCCCCGCTCACGCGCTTCAGGGTTTCCTCTGTCCGTGTGAATGACCATTGCTCTTGTAAAGGGATGGATGGACGTCTGCTCACCTCTGATGCCATTTTTCCGGACAGCCCGCAGGAGTCAAAATTAGCTTTGAACAAGTGCCGACAGATCTTATTAAAAAAACATAAATGACTAAAGGGAACAAAGATACGTATTCAAATAATGAACCTTCACTCATATCTACAGTCACATAAGTTTTACGTGTAAGATATAAAAGTGGTTCTCAATCTTTTTTAGCATCGTGACCCCTTCATAAAGTTGTCGAAGTTGCAACAAAGAACAACCTGGATTTTTCACAGAATGTGGGAGGTTAAGGGGCACAGTTACTGAGTGTACTTGACTGACCAATATTTGACCAGATGACCAGATTTATCAAGACCAGGTTCTGAGTTTACTTGAGTTGTCAAGGCCATTTATCGAGTGTACCTGACTGACCAATATTTGACCAGATGACCAGATTTAACAAGACCAGGTTCTGTGTGTACTTGAGTTGTCAAGGCCAGGTATCGAGTGTACTTGACTGACCAATATTTGACCAGATGACCAGATTTATCAAGACCAGGTTCTGTGTGTACTTGACTTACCAATAGTTGACCAGGTGACCAGAGTTATCAAGGCCAGGTATCGAGTGTACTTGGCAGACCAATTTTTGACTAGATGACCAGAGTTATCAAGGCCAGGTATCGAATGTACTTGACTGACCAATATTTGACCAGATGACCAGATTTATCAAGACCAGGTTCTGTGTGTACTTGACTGACCAATATTTGACCAGATGACCAGAGTTATCAAGGCCAGGTATCGAGTGTACTTGACTTACCAATAGTTGACCAGATGACCAGAGTTATCAAGGCCAGGTATCGAGTGTACTTGACTTACCAATATTTGACCAGATGACCAGAGTTTAATTGACTGGCCAATATTTGACAAGAGGACCAAAGTTACCAAGGCCCGGTACTGAGTGTACCTGACTTACCAATATTTGGCCAGGTGACCAGAGCTATCAAGGCCAGGTACTGAGTGTACCTGACTTACCAATATTTAGCCAGGTGACCAGAGCTATCAAGGCCAGGTACTGAGTGTTCCTGATTGACCAATATTTGGCCAGGTGACCAGAGCTACCAAAGCTTAGAATTCCAAGAAACGTTACTGAGTGATGCTCTTTACTGCACACTAAAATGTCGGTCTCATCCGCCATCTGCGCAGCCCAGTTGCTTACAGCTACGACAGAACTATAGTTTTTATGTAGCTGTAGGGTAGTCACAGTGTAGTGATACTAAAAAGGGTTACGCGACCTGGGTTGCACGAGCGCGGTGACCCAATATTTTTGCCGTTCCCCTTCCATGACAAAAATATGCAGTTGTTCAAAAATGGCTCCCTCCAATACAAAGTGCCGTCTGGGGCAGACTGTCCCCCCCCCCTCCCCGTCACCTCCCTACATCAGCGGCGTAGCATTTCAGGTGCTGCCGGGAACAGCGAAGATAAGAGCATAGGTCAGAGGACTCATTGCCTTTAAGTAATTCTGTAAATGTTTATACGTATTTTTTTTCCATCTAGATAGTAAGAATATTTTGTTATATAAGTCCCATGTTTATATTCTCAGAACTATGTTATTATTTTTTGTGTGTGTAATAAATTAAAACACTTAAGTTTATTATCACACCCCCCCCCCCCCCCACCAA